AGGACTACCTGGTAGGATTTGTCCAAGAGAAAAGTGCGGAATGTTGCTGTGATTTTTGATGTCCAATACAAATCACACCAACGTACCGAAACAACAACTGTGATCCGTAGATATCCAACCACCTAATTGAAGTATACGCTGATGTCAGCCATTTTGGGATATATTTTAGTATGATGTTCCCTTTCAGAAACTAATTCACCAAGACTGATACTCCTTCGAAGGCTGAACTCCAAGACTTAGTTCGTTCATTTCTTCTGAAATCCCATTGTTGATGTTTCATCTCCATTTTTCCCATTGTAATCCAAATGATGTGCTGGGTAAATCTCATAATATTCCCATCTCAGCCTTCATGTCTCAAAAAGTAAGCCTTCATGTCTCAAAAAGTAAGCCTTCCTTGGAATTTACCACATGTTTTTGCTGGTGAAACTGCATTTGGGCAAGCATTCACTTGTCTGGTTCGTGGTATACCTACCCCTCTGAAAAATATGAGTCAGTCAGTTAGGATGATGAAATTCCCAACTGAATGGAAAAATGAACAAAATGTTCCAAAGCACCAACCAATGATTATTCTGTGGTTATTTTATAGGTATATTAATGGTTACTAGTGGTCATTGCTGGATAAAACACAATTTTTCACCATCGATAACCCAAGTTACTCCTCTTTATCCGCCTTCTCTGACGCACACGAGGCAGGACTTGGCATACGAAGCCAGGTTGAGGGTTCTCCCCCAGTTCAAGCACCAGATGGCCGTTGGCATTGTTGAAATAGATACCCTCTGGTTATTTAACATAGCCATGGAAGCCATGGCCCATATAAATAGATGGTTTACCTGGGTTTACCCATTAAAAATGGTGATTTTCCATGGCTATGTTAAATAACCAGATGGTAATTAGATAATAATAATCACCAAAAAAGATAGAAACATGTTCCCAAGATGGTGTGTTGATCATATTAATCTCAGATTTCCAGCTTTCCATGTTTGTTCTATCTATTTTGTGGTTGCTATAGGTTCATAACCCCAAAGTCTTTGGATTTAGAATCATTTCATGATTGAAATCGTTTTGTTTGTTTCCTAACCCATATGCGAACCATGGTGCTGGTATATTTACCTACAAAACTGGGTGATTGTTAAAGCAAATGTTGGCAAATATTCCCATTTCATGATTGAAATATTTTTTCCCCAATTGAACACATTCTGGTTGGTGGTTTCAACCCCTCTGAAAAATATGAAGGTCAGATGGGAAATAATGGAATACGGCGGAATGAAGAAAGTCCTCCCTGTCTAGACGTAGGTGCAATACACATTGTGTGTATTGTCAACCATGCTAGGTTGACTCATCGGAAGTCAGATTGGATCATCATCCCAACTATTGGGGACAATGAAAAATGTTTGAAACCACCAACTAGCATTCGTCAACGATATGAACATTTTCCCAGCCTTAAGCCTTCGTCACGGGTGATTTTCTTGGGATGAAGGAACCATCATCTCTGGACTTTACATAGATCTACCATCTGGTTATTTAACATAGCCATGGAAAATCACCATTTTTAATAGGTAAACCATCTATAAATTTGCCATTTTCAATAGCTATGTTAAATAACCAGAGGGTAAGATGAACAATCTATGACCAGTTTGCTCTATCGAAAATCAACCCGATTATCTTTATATTTTGGGGTACCGTGACGGAATCAATGTTAGAATCGCTTCAGGGTATCAAACACCATAGCCACAATGGGGTTGATGGATGCTGATGGGTTTATCACATTCGTTGACGTTGGGAATCTGCTGACATCCACTCACACACTTGGTGGAGGTATCTTGGTATACCTATACCCCTCTGAAAAATATGAGTTCGTCAATGGGAAGCATTATCCCATATATGACATGGACAATGAAAGGTGTTTGAAACCACCAATCAGCCATTACATCCCTAATATATCCCCATCAGTTATGGAATGAAAACCCCATTGATAACCATAAAAAATAACCACCAAGCAGTTTCTGCTTCCCAAAACTATCAACCCGGTAACCCCCCAATGCGTTGCCCAACGGGGTATGGATGGATCCAATCCTGAAGCTCTTGAAGCAAATTTATGGGGACCAAGTTCACAAACAATTCCTGAAACTGGTGAAATGGGATACATGGTTATGGGATATAGGAACTTTGATACATGGTTATGTATCACATGGTTATGTAATGTTATGTATCACAAATCCAAGTACTACTGGGTATCAAGTTGAAGTTTCAATTTTGTTGATACAAACCACTTACTTCCACATGTGATATGGGATACATGGTCAAACAGTTTGCAGGGCCCTTGGGAAACAGAGTGAGCCAACGTCGGAATTTCCAAGCCCTGGGATCAAAACACCAAGATCACCAAGGTAAACCAAGGTGAAATCCCATGGTTTTTGCGTGGCATTTCTATGGCATTTCTCCAAAGATTTTGTGGTGAACCCCACCCCACTTACCCTCTGGTAAACTAACATAGCTATGGAAAATCATCATTTTTAATGGGAAAACTCACTATAAATGGCCATGTTCAATAGCTATGTTAGTTTACCAGAGGGTACGCCCGCGCCATTTCTCTCCAAGGCACCCTGTCACCGTCGCATCCGTCAGATCTGTTGCGCCGAATCGTGGGATGCTTTCTGCGGTGCTTGCACGGCCCGCTGTGCTTTCTGCTGAACTAACTGATGCCTGCGGCATGCAAAAAGATGCAAAAAGGCCAGGTGGATGAAGGGCTGGCAAGTGAACTTAGGCTATTTTCCCACAACTGATAACTGATCAACTGAAAGTGGTCAGGTGAATACTTCCAATCCTCTCAGAATTTGCGAACGTGGCCCTTCACTGCACTGGAGACAACCTACCATGATTTTACCTTCAGGATAGAACGCTCAACATCGTGGTTGCAGGGCCAAACAGAACAAACACAAAATGAATGATATTGGCATATCTGTTGCAGATCTATCAAAATGATTCGAAATGTACATAGGAAACATCTAAAGAACAAAGTGTGGATTTTTCGAAGCACGGTAATCTCAACCCCCGGGGCTCGACAAGGCTCGGCAATGGCATTTGGAAAGTACCACGAATCCCTTGAAGACAGAATCGCACCGGGTAGTGAAACTAAACTATAGAACTATAATAGTCTGATGGTTTTTAAGGTCATTCCGCTTCAGTAGTACTATGTCATGGCGGATTCCGGACTCCAGCTGAGAGAAGGAAAAGAAAACAGAGAACCAGAATCGGCGTGACTTGGCAAATTGTCATGGAGCAAAACAAAAGAACGTTATTAGACATCCCGAACCCCCAACCCTGAACACCCACCCACACAAGTATTTGGAAGCTCCGGAACTGTCAGCAGGACAATCACTTTTGAGTACCAGCAAACCGTATATCAAATCATAGTCTTCCCATATATTTCCCAATGATTTTCCCCCCTTTTAATCTCACCAAACATTATTGAAATTATTAAACCACATAAAACCATATCATCAATATAATATTCCCGTAATTTCCCACATTTCCCCATCCAAAAAACAATTATTATCCGTAAACCATACAATAAAACCATACGATTCCCATGGATTTTCCCCACCTCAGGAGGCGCCAGCGGCTGCGAAAGCCTCTGGTCCCAGGGAGCCGCTAAGCGCTGTTGGCACAGCGGGCCGTGCTTCAACATCTTGCTGCCACCACCTCCGAGAGGCGGTTAAGAGAAATGCCGGGTTTATGCCGAAGAAAAACGGAAGAAAGGTGAACATCATATGTGAAAAAGGGTTGGTTTTGCAGCATGGTTTGACCATGAAAAACGGTGAAACATGCAGGTTTTTACCGAACAAAAAACAGTGAAAAAAGGATTGCTGAAGCCACAGGAATCGTGATTGCAAGGGATTTGAATGGTGGTTAACCAATGAACCATGGAACATTGTGGTTTCACCATGAACAGATGTGATTTGAGTCCTAACCCTCAAAAATGCTGAACAATGGTGGATTGAACCATGTTTCGTCGAAATTTCCAGCTCTTGGCCGGGTGGATATTTCATGGGTCATGGATGGGGATTTGTTCATCAAATATATGTCATGTGGGGCCCCGTTTACGAGAACGCTAAGTTGGTGAACATAACTCCAATCACTATGGTTTATGGTACGCAAATAACATCTGATAACTATACTTCATATGGGCCAATGGGTCAAAACAGTGCCTGGTCCAAAATTGGCTGACAAGTGGACGTTCATCCCCTGCAACCTATGGGATAAATATAAGTTTTGATCCATCCTCAGACGTCCGCCATCGCCACGCGAAAAAAGTCAGGCCCCATGCCAAATGTATCATCACAAGGTGGTGCCCCCCCAGTTATAAATTGGTTAAAAGCCCATTAACTATAGATATATCACCTATAAACCATAGTTTTTGGAGTTATGTTCACCAACTTAGCTATCTTGGGGGCACCACCTTGCATACCTGCAAAGTGATGCCGGCCATTTGGAAGTTGGTTTATAAACCCACTAACTGCAAAGACATCCACCATGACTCCTAGCTGACCCTAGCTGTAAAACAGTTTCGGCAACCATTTTTGCCATAGCCTTATAGCGCATCCCAATTGGCAAAAAACATGTAGATCACAATACAAAAATACACCAGTTCTACGGGATAGCCTCAAAAATCAATCGTCTCCCAATTTTTCATGGAATCCATCCACATCATCCACATCACCCATATGCTCCATGTATGGTATATTTACCTACATTTGGTTGATTTTGTTCGGGCAAATGTTGGTGTGCATGTTCCAGCACCATGGTTCGCATTTGGGTCATCCACATCATCCAGTTGTGCAGCCGAGTTTCTGTAGTGCACATGGCATTTCTTGCAGCAAAAACTGCCCATCTTCTTGAAATCCGACACCAAAAAGTCGCAGGAAGCGTTGCTGCAGGCGATTCGCTTGGACCCGGCCTGAAAAAACGAAACGGCGCTTGGGGTTGATGGTTGCCTCCGCAACTTCAAAAAAAAACAGAAAACTGAATAGATAACTTGACTTAGCTTGACAAACAATTGAATTTAAGTACTTCCGAAAATAAAGGTCATGTCACGATGTTTGCCGAGGATCGAAGTCGTCTAGAAAAAAAATGTCCCAATATGTTCGCAATGGCAATGATGCCCGCTATTTTCTGGAGGATGTCTTGGCAGGATTTCACATCGGTAAAAGTAGAGCCTTGATCAATGGGAATTTCAGGATCCTAAATTGGAGGTACGTAAACGTACCATATGTTTGGCCATATGAATTGTGGGGATATTCCCTGAAATCTAGGCCTTATTTTTCGGCCATATATATGGTAGGTAGCTCCAATCTAGGTTCCCATCCCAAAGAAAAACAAGGTCGCGATGATGGGATGGGATGTTCTCCCAGCTAGATATTGATCCACTACCAAACACCAGCCTTATGACGGCTCAAATCTTATTGCTGCTACCCTCTGGTAAACTAACGTAACGAACTGGAAAATCATCATGCTATACATGGGTAAATCCACTATAAATGGTCATGTTCAATAGCTATGTTAGTTTACCAGAGCGTAATTTTTAGACCCACAAACAAGTTGAGACAAACTCAACAAAACTTGGACCCTCACCACAGGAAACAAAAAATGTAATCAGCAAAACTGGGTTTCGACTGCGGCTGTCCATGATTTCCCAGTAACACAGCAACACCTCCAAACATATCACTTAAAATGGTTGGTTTTTACCCCCATAACTTGTTGGTCAACTGCGTTGAAATGTTTTTGGGCTACTCCGCAGCCTGCCCCGGGACTTTCATCACCATAAAAACCTGCAAAGTGACGCCCCTGCGTAAACCCCATACTATACCCATATGCTCCATGTATGGTATATTTACCTACATGTGGTTGATTTTTAGGGCAAATGTTGGCAAACATTCCATACATGGAGCATATGGGATAGATTCATCACCAGAAGCCAGCCAAAGTCAAACTAGTGAAAAATCAGCGTAGCTAAGTATGGGCGACAACTTGTTTGATTGGGGCTTATAGTACCCCAATTGCAGAGGACCGGGATACCATTGGAAAGGTACCATTCAATTTCCATGCTATGGATAAGTCCTCATGACATTGGTCATACAGAGGAAATATGCGGAAATCTCTGTTTTCTGGGCACCCTTAAAACCCATGATTCAGGATACTATTGTAGATCGCTGGTGGTATTACAATCTACAAATCACTGTAAATTGCGACATTGGTTAGTAAATTCCAAGCGTAGCCACTCTAGTCCCATCACAACCCACTTTGACCAGCAAAAAATTGGTGTGTCATCACCTATCCAAAGTCTTGCTGGTTTAAATCACGAATGTGGTAAACCCAGTGCCATAAACGTATCATTTGCGGATGGTTCATATCAATCCTATCCATAAAAAATGTGATTTTGCGGATGGATTATGGCAGTGGCTTTACCACATTAGCCATGTTTACGGGTTTCTATCAGTTATATTCCATTATTATATCCCATTGTATCTAATTGTATCCCATTATTGAATGATTATGTCCATACAAAATAATACTAATGATTACTATTGTTTGCTGTTTAAACCATGTTACACCACTATTTTTCTTCATGTTTCCCATTAAATCACCATGAAATCACTATGGAATCCCAATAATTCCCATTAAATCCTTGATTTTTCACAATTTTCTCGCCGTTTTTCACCGCCTGCGTTTCTTCCCTCGGACTCATCGGTACCTGCCCCGTCGCCCAAGCCGCGCGCCGCGGCTTTGGCGACGGCGACGAGATGCGGCGGTGCAGCACTGGGGCCTGGGGACCACCGTTGAACCGTCAACGATAGGGATTATAATGGTAAATGTTACCATATATACCATACATGGATCCTATGGGTAAGGTGGTGCCCCCGTTCGATAGCTAAGTTGGTTTATAACTCCAATAACTATGGTTTTTGTTGGTGATATATCAGTTAATGGGCTTATAACCAATTTATAACTGGGGGGGCACCACCTTGTATAAGGATATATGGAGGTTTCCTAAGTCCTAGGGGTACCCCCAAATCATCCATGTCAATAGGATTTTCCATGAAATAAACCATCCAGCTATTAGGGTACCCCAATTTTAGGAACCTCCATATATGGGGATGGATCATAAACCCAAAATTTGATAAACCTAGATTGAACTGTGATTGATTATAGCTAAGTTTGTGCAAACAACTCCAATAACTATGCCTTATGATACTTGTAACTATTGTTTTCATGGGGTTAGAAAACACTTTATAACCAGGGGCCATATTTATTTATATAATGTTTACAGTATAATCCGACTATCTATCTATCTATCTAAATGGATTATATTGATTTTGTTTTTATGGCTTTAATCCCATATGTATATATATAATATCCCTCTATATATGATGGCTTATACATGGATTAATAAAATGATCTAGTATTTATATATATAACTATATATATATGTATTACAGTATCGATCACTTTCAGCACCCCAAATAGAGCAAAACATTGTACATTACATGTTGGATCACACGACGGGGATCATCGGGATCTGAGATCTAGGTGACAATCAATGGCTAATTGATAATTTATCCTGGTTCAAGAGCTATACCCTGTAGGGTGCCTAAAGGATATTATATATACGTATATACATATAGCTTCGGCATTAATTTACGAAAAAATACAAGGATAATAATGGGATGTGGATTTTAACATTGTGGTATAACTTGACGTATAATATTGATCCAACAAACTTTGGGGGTATCATATCAAGAATAACGGGGATATAAGATCACATAATGATAGAATGAGGCATAATGGAGTATATAAACCCCTAGAAATGGCTTATGTGGGAAATCCAATGATAACAGTGCAATGACCCATATGGTGATTTGTTGGAAACATCTGGAGGAAACTCTGTAAAGTCCGTAAAGCAATGTCATTCACCCATATAAATTGATGGTTGGGATTAATTCCACCCAGGAAAAATTGCAAAATTTGGGATGGTGGATTATATTGCTTTACTAACATTGTGGCAATTGATGGAATACAAGTATACATTGCGAAAATACAACTGTATGCTCATTTGCTGTATTTTCATCCCTGGAGAATGAACAACATGATACAACATGTTGTTTTGTGGATGTGCATCCCATATAACCCCATAGAAAAATCAGGCTGAAGTTCAGACGTTTTTGGTCGCATCAAGGTGTTGACCATGCTTATTGCTAAAGCACTTGAGATTGGTTAGATACAGCAAACAACAAAATTGGGAGTTTAACCTATGACATGTTGATAAAACCAACCTGAATTCTGGCTGTTTCCTGTGATAGAGGGAAGTGCGACTTTGTCCAAGCAAATTTTGATACATGGTTTTGAACCAACCAAACATGCGACTGGTACAACAAAAAGGTGGACTTGCTGAAGAAACATAGGGATATCACCAACATAAAACTGGAACTGAAACACGAGACACTCGCTTTCAATTTTTCAATTTGTTGCCAAACACACTAGAGTTGCAAAAACGCGTGGCATAGAGATGGGAAAACCACTTCAAAATGATTTGCTCTCAAAATTACAGAATGGCTAAATTGACAAAGTGTGGCGTGGAAAAAGCACGCACGCATACAGTACATGTTACGTGTAGCTAGTCTTTATCCCCCTGGGAGTTCCTGCAGGAAAAAACAACATCGATGTCTAGCTGGTTGGGATCAAAGATAAACATCTCCATTTATCATAGCAAGAAACTCAAGTTACTATCTGGTTGGTGGTTGAGCCTACCACTCTGAAAACTGATGGAGTTCGTCAGTTGGGATGATGAAATTCCCAACTGAATGGAAAAAATGTTCCAAACCACCAACCAGCTATTCATGCAGTTCCTTCCAGGTACATCTACCGTAAATCCTAGCTCACCTACTTTTAAGCCAATTTAGCTAAGCAAAGCCTGTACGGAGTGGGGCCCCCCACACGCTAGCTAAGTTGGTGCAAAGAACTCCAATAACCATGGTTGATGCTTTTCTATGGTATTCATAGGGTTTACAAACCAACAAACATCATTGGGGGGGCACGTTGTACCATTACATAGTTGTATATGGTTGCTGCTACTATCATGATTATACATAATGTTATCTCTTGCCATTTAGCCGTTATTGTTTTATGTTACTCCTCACAGAAACGATAAGTATCATCCTATTTAAATAGAACTACGTATATTTTACTATTAACAAAAATCATAATAGTGGTATATCACTATCATAGTTATACATATATTTAGCGATATATCCTTACCCCTTTGTTTTCTATGAAAATACATAAATATATTATATCTATATATATATATATGTGTGTGTATGTGTTACGGGCAAACACCTCGATTTGCCCGCGCTTGTCGGCGGCCATCTTCGTATGTGCTGAAAACGTTGTATAAATGAGAGTTTTTTGCATCAAGGCTAACTTCATGTTGTATATCGGCACGCACAGCATAGGGACCTGTGCGAGTCTCTTACATCATCATCATCATCATCATCATCATGATCATCACGATCATCATCATCATCATCATCATCAAACCCCTATTGAAGATCTTCAATGAATGTAGAAGTTTAACGGTGGTGGGAGAATTAAACCCTTATTGAAGATCTTCAATGAATGTAGAAGTTTAACGGGGGTGGGAGAACTAAACCCTTATTGAAGATCTTCAATGAATGTAAATTTTAACGCGGGTGGGAAATTTATATTCCCTAAATACCCTTGTTGATCTTCCCAATTGAATGTAAAGTCTAACGTTTGATATCCCCAAGTGTACAGCATAGAAGGGGTGTGGGCGAATCGGGGTGTTTGCGCGATATGTTACTATCCTTTGCTCCTTTGTTCCCTCTCCAGTTCCCCACCTGTGCGGGCTGCGTGACTGCCGGAGTTGTGGCTCGCGGGCTTCGCGGCGTCGCAGCTTGTGGCTCCTGCAGGTGAATGAAAAAATGCCCGACTTTGCAAACAGCCCAGAATGGGATTAAAATATGATATATACATGATATATATATATATATAGATAGATAGATAGATAGCATATATAAGTATGTTATATATATAAGATGTATTTGCATGGTATATACATGAACATGAACTTTACATATATTTATTTGAATCTATATATACAACATGTATAAGTATGTTATATAAATAATGCTACAAATAAAAATATATGATATATATATATATATATGAAATAAATGCATGATAAAACTATATATATATATATTGAAACAATGCATATTTTTATATAATATACAGGTATGTTATACATGCAAATGTATTACATGAAAAAGAAATATCTATATATACATATGATATAGACATGATATATATATATATATAAGATGAACACATGATCAAAAACTGTCAATATCATAAATACATATGATATATTTGTGTGTGTGTGGAGGTTTCCATACATGGTTTTACCTCAAAATGGATGGTTCATAACGGAAAATCTTGCTCAAATTGATGATTCAGGGGTACCCCCATTTTAGAAAACCTCCATACATACACATCTCTGTCTCTCTCTATGTATACATACACATGGGGGATCTTAAAATGGAGGATCCCCGAACCATGGGTTTCAACACTAAAATGATCTAAATTTGGATGATTTAGGGGCGCCCCAATTTTAGGAAACCTCCATATGGGATATACACATTTCAATTAATGGGATATAATGACAAGTCAGGATTAATAAAACCTCCGGATTAGCGAAGCCCGTTCCCTCCGAAAAAATTGGGGCAATACTAAAGTCCTCTACGTGCTGATTTCCCCCCCCCAAATAACATTAAAATACCCCCTAATTAGCGAAGCCCCTCTGGGATCCCCAATTTTTTGGTGGAACTAATTTGCTATTGCTCCCTTCCACTTTTTAATTCGGGTTACAATTTCCAGGGTTAATTAATGATCCTGTCTTAATTATCTTATCCTATTTGGATTCGTCTCATGCTGGCGCATGTTTCTCATGCCTCCTGTATGCCTCACCTTGGCCATTCATGCAAATAGGTCTCATGTTTCCCCCTTCCAATTTCTCATGCCCCTTAATGTTTTTCTCAAAACTAATTCATGCCAAGTAGCTGCTGCTCATGCCTTTCATGCTCATTCGAAGCAGCTGATGGTACAGCTTCATGGCGACCACTGTGCATGTGACCTGCCATGCCAGCCTGCAGGGCTTGAATCTAATGATTTCCCACGCTAAATCGAATGAAGCAGTGATGGATTGAATGCTTTTCTCATGCTGAATCTTATGAAAAACCAATGGGTTGAAGAAAATTCTCATGCCAAAACTTATGAATCCTATTCCAAAAATCATGCTAATTCATTGATGCCAAGTTGCGGTGGCATCTGCTGATGCGCGTCCATTTCGTACAGGAGCCATGAGCGCATTTGCTGGACTCTCTTGCTCATGGGGCAAGACTCAGCCGACCAGCCTCAGTTACCTGTTGTTATTATGATAATTACCCTCCCATACCCATGCTTTTTCATGGTCTCTCATGCTCTCCCATCCCCTCTCATGCTCTCATGCTTTATTCCCTTTCATGTTTCCCAATGTAACTAATGATATAATTACATCCCTCTCATGCTCTCATGCTGCATTATCAAAGCCAAGAAACTCATGATCACCCATCCCCTGCATGATGCCAGCTTATGGAACAGGTGCCTGATCTTGGCCCTCATGGCATACCCGTTCTGCAGGGCAGAGCGGCTATGAAAAATGCAAAATTATATATATATATATATATATTTATTTATTTCAAACAATATATATATAAAAACATATAATTATATCTAAATCATATTTCTTACAACTATTTCTTTACTTATTGCTTGCAATGGGTTGGAAAAAACTTATCATCCCCCCACCTCATCCAGTCTGCGCTCCATGTTTCGGAGGAGCTCATTGCAGTCACTCCTCGATGCCAGTCCATGCATCATCTGACTCATCTGATGGAGCTTCCAAATCATCACCTCATTGGAAACCAACCCTCATAGATTGAAATAAACCCTAATGAATCCAACCCATTAATTAATTATATTCTTACATGTTCTTTTCATGTTTTTCTAATTAGCTCTTTCCACCAAGATGCTCCACTCATCCCTGCAATGCTGGTCTGGATGCAGAGCGATGCCACCAATGCAAGCATGGCTGATGGGCTGATGGTCGATCTGATGGAGCTCGACGCAGGGCTGATGACCCAATGAGCAAAAAAAATGCCTTCTGAACCGGCTGATCTCATGCACTTCATGCACCCTTCCCATGGATACCCTCAAAGTAATTACGTGATGACCTCATGCATTTCATAGGAATCTGATGGTTTACCATTGATTAATTAATTGATATTCTAATGTTTCCCCATAGGAATCTGATGGTTTACCATAAATAGTTATTCAAAACTTTCCCCAGAGGAATATTATGTTTTTAGGTTTGCCCTTTGTTTTATTATCTTTTCACATAGGAATCTGATGGTTTACCCTTGGTTTTCTTATCTTTTCCTATAGGAATCTGATGGTTTACCATTGATTTTCTTATCTTTTCTCATGGGATTCTGATGGTTTACCATTGATTTTCTTTTTTTCTCATAGGAATCTGATGATATTATATATGTTTTCTTTTCTTTTCTCATAGGAATTTACCATTGGTTTTCTCATCTTTTCTCATAGGAATCTGATGGTTTACCATAGGTTTTCTTAGCTTTTCCCATAGGAATATGATGGTTTACCATAGGTTTTCTCATGTTTTCTCATTGGAATCTGATGGTTTACCATAGGTTTTCTCATCTTTTCTCATTGGAATCTGATGGTTTACCATAGGTTTTCTCATCTTTTCTCATAGGAATCTGGTGGTTTACCATAGGTTTTCTTATCTTCTCTCAAAGGAATCTGATGGTTTACCATAGGTTTTCTCATCTTTTCTCATAGGAATCTGATGGTTTACCATAGGTTTTCTTATCTTTTCTCATAGGAATCTGATGGATTACCAAAAAAAATATTATCTTTTCTTAAAGGAATCTGATGGTATCTTAAAAGTTTTCTTATCTTTTCTCATAGGAATCCGATGGTATTATATATGTTTTCTTATCTTTTCTCATAGGAATCTGATGGTTTACCATAGGTTTTCTCATCTTTTCTCATAGGAATCTGATGGTTTACCATAGGTTTTCTTATCTTTTCTCATAGGAATCTAATGGTTTACCATAGGTTTTCTTATCTTTTCTCATAGGAATCTTATAATAATCGTTTATGGATGAGTGAATGGTCACATTATTTGGGGGGTTCGGTTTTTGGACCGCCTCACTGGACCTTGTTGACCTAGTTGACCTATAGGGAGGGGTTTATTAATCCGGTGTCGCCATTACATAATATACATAATCAACGCGATATACTAGGAGATTATTCGATAATATTGTGACATGTAATTGGATATTGGGATACTATGTAACAGGATAAACACCAACTATTTATAGTTATAGCATATTTATTAAGGGAGATAATGAGATACGATGAGATAGTAAGGGAGAGACGTTGGCCATTGGCTGTAAGAAGGGCAGATGGATCTTGGAATCCGGTGAGACGTTGCACTTACCCTCTGGTAATCAGCTCCATGGCTTGCTGGAAAATCACCCATATATAGCTTTTCCAGCTAAATGGATGTACATGGTGCATATTAGTTATCAACCAGCATAACTGCCTGGCACCACCTTGTATGAAGCAAGCATATGTGTCTAGGTTCTTGATTCCATCGTCTTCCCGTGTGACAAGATGGTGGATCTGCTGGTGCACATAAATCTTCTGAATGGACACGTTTCTGCGGAAACGGGCGCAGCCAACTCAGCACTTCAGTTGCATTGAAGGGTTTGATCAAAACCTTGGGATATTCTGGAGTTTTATGCCCCACCATGATTTCCTTTTGGTGGGATAGATAGGAGGTCCTGGTGCTTGAACCTGGAACTCGCCGCATCAATTACTGACATGCAGCCAGATGTGCCACTAGGAACACATATGCTGAATCCTAGCCAAGTCCTTTTTTGCAAACACGCTTACTTCTATGATGAAAGAAATTGCCCCATCAAGATCTAATATCAATGGGAATTCCAGGATCCTAAATTGGAGGTACCTACCATATATAAGGCCTATGTAAGGCCTATGTAAGGGAATATCCCCACAAAATATGGCCAAACATATGGTACAGTACCTCCATTTTAGAATCCTGGAGATCTCCCATTGATAATAGGGGAGCATCATTCCAGAGTGCTTGTTCTATGGTTTCCCCACGCGCACGAAACTGGCAGTGGTAGATCTGGCGTATTTTTTGTTCCATGGGGTTAATGGGCTATGGTGATCCGAACATCAAGGCTTCCACCCACAATGGGCATGTTGACACCTACTGATGAACCTTGGGTAACTATGATTTCTGGGAGATATAACTATATATATATATTTGATGGTGTTCACAAAAATTCTCAGAACGGGGGCCTCAACTTGGCTTAATGGGGGATGACCAACCAACCACCATGGTATAATATGGCTGCAATGTGGGGCTTCAAGATCTCACTTGCCTTATTACTTAGACAGATATATCCACTGATGTTTACCATTTTACCTATCTTGGAAGCCCTACAGCGCTCACGTTGAACTCTCACGGCCAATCTTGGAAAACAGCACAACAACATAGTTTGTTAGTATCTCTTCCCATGATTGCTGTATCCAAAAGCATTTATAGAACTGAACTCAACATATTGAAGTACTAGAGTATACATCCAAACATTTCCTCATCTATCAATGGTAATTTCCAGCAGTTCTTCCAATTGGTTATAGGTTGTTAGAATATGTTGTGATAATGTATCCCCATCACTCAATCATAGTCATCAATCATCCAGTCCTAAGGCAAATTTTAATCTCCTTTGACTATGCTTGTATACCCGAAATCAACCCTAGTTGTTGGACTTCTGCTCGCCAACTTAGCTAACTATAGGGTCCTGTAAAATATCATCATCCCAGTTACTAAGCAGTTACTGGGGTGATCACATCCTCTTTCGGCTTTTCAGTGGCAGGCCCCATCCCCTCTTCCTCCATGGACTGCACCGGTGGGGGACTGCTGCGTCGCAGAAACGGCTCCTGCGAAAGAAAGGGGTCACCAAGTGGCGATTAGGCTAAACACGGTGGGGTTACATGTGCTTAAGTTTGGGTATGTATATCTATATATCTTATAAAAACATTAAATGGTACGTATTTATAATTATAGATATACATATATGTTCCATATGTCCATGTTTTTTAAAATATAGTTTTATAAAATGGGATATTCTTGGCCGGTATAGTGGGATAGCACCAGAGGATTTAATGTGATATGACTGGACCCAATGGATCTCCGAGGAGGTCAAGGGGTGGGCGAGCGCTTTAGAGCGGTGGTGTACGTTGTTTGCGTTAAGGGAAAAGGACCATACGGTATAGTGTTTTCAACTTTGGTACTATGGGTTGTACTGACAATTGTAATATTGTTGTGTTTTCAACTTTGTGGAATGCAAAACCGTTACCATTTTGATTATCATTGGATTAGTCTCAAATGAGATGTACCCGCCCAGTAGCTAGGCCACACTACAAGGTGGGAGCTGTGAAAATAAACACAGAGGTCGGCAAGTGGCCAGGGGAAATTCCCCCTTCTTAGTCAACAACATGTAAATGCATGTGTATACAAAGAATATAGAAAAAATATAGTAGTAGATTCTTCTGTGTATACAAACATCTGCAAAAGGCATAATTACCACAAATCCAGCCACTGCCAGCGGTAAACTGGGCATTGCATGACAATACTGCTGCGTTTCCTCTCAGCTCATTTGGCTGGGTAAATTCCTATGATTCCCAAAGGAGGAAACCCTTTTTCGGACACGAATCCTAACTTGCCAGCCATCTGTTATTGGTTTCAGTACGTCATGATCATATATACATATATATATATATACATATATATATATTATATAATATATATATGTATGTATGTATATATATAAATATAATATATAAATATATATAAATAATATATACTATATATATATATATAGATATGTTCGTACAGGGTGGGCCCACCCAGTTATAATAAGTCGGTCTAGAATCCCCTTCAAATATATAGTTCTATCCCCCTAATCAACTCTAGTTGGCCCTAGTTATTGGACTTGTGTTCACCAACTTGGTTATGGATCTCCAAAACCATTCCCTTTGGGATTCTCGAAGGCAGACCCCAACCCAGCTTCCCTGCTTCCTGCACCGGCGGCGCCGGTGCAAATGCGCCCCCGCTTCGCGGCGTCACCGGGGGACTGCTGCGTCGCAGAAAAGGCTCCTGCGAAAGAAAGGGGCCACCAAGTGGCCAGGAAGCGGAGCATGGTAGGGTTATGTTTGCAAAAAATTGGATACATACATGTATATATATATAATATAAATATATGTATAATATATATATATATATTTATTTACACATAATATGTATATATATATATATATTAAATGAGGTATGTATATATTCTATATATATATGTATAAATTAAGGGAGCTCGTCACTGTGAGCGTGCATTTTTTCTGAGTTTGCAAGATGGGCTTGTTAATATCTAAGCGCCCAAGTATCTACGTCAAAATTCTCATACTGACGAGCATACCTTTCAGCTTGGTTTAATGTCTGTATACTATGCCCAGGTTTTGTATCATCACATTAGGACAACAGCCACAAACATTGGTTTGATATAAACGTGACAACCAAACTTTGGCAACGTTGTAATTTTCTAATTAGTAATACAATATGCGTTGGAGGATGCTTAAAGGTGTTTGCTCTATCTATTCCTGCTATAGCATTTTGTAAAATGTTCATTTCTTTTTTAATACTAATTTTAAGAATAAACACATATTTTTTGTGTCTACATCCTTCTTATTTCCGAATTATGTTTTGAACTTAAGTTTGGTTTTCTACTTTGAATTCAAACATCTTGCTATACCTGTGGGTAGTGTAATTACATGTTGGGTTCAGTGTATTTTCACACTAGTATATTTGTTAAAGAAACGTTTTTTGTTTTTGGAAGAATATGTTTGCTTTTTATCCTTACATCAGCTCTAACTACTATAATTGTTGGAATATTATTGTTAGGACTGCAGTTTTTTTATTGTTTTCATAAAGTTTGTAGTATGGGATGTACTCTTTGTGTTACTTCTGCTATGTATTTCGTATTTTGTGTATTTTTCAAGATAGTAAAAATAAAGAAGTATAGAATATATTTCTAAAATAGTTTTAGTTAATGCCGAGTTTAAGACATAAACCTAGTTTTTTTAATGCAATAATAGAGCAAGGAAAATGACAGAGAAATTCTACATCATTTATTGCATGTATTTGGATACGAAAAAGGTAACAAACACGTGTTTCATATTTAACTCACAATACGGTGCGTTCTTGTGTGAGATACTGTCAAGTCAGCGAAATTCTTGCAGGGTTTTGGGAATTTCTAGATATGATAGTCATGAACAACCGGATGATATTCTATCAGAAATTCCTTTTGCAGTAAGCTTAATGAGAAAGGTAGGTTTTTGTGTTCTTTAGATATGCTAACACAGATTGTAAAAAACAATTTCATCTTACGAAATGTTTCCATTCGCCAAATAATGTGTTTGATAGAAGTGAAAAATTCAAAAAGATTGATACATAGTATTCCGCAACCGAATAGATTTTTATTACCATTTTTTTTCTACGATGAATCTTTAAATATGTTTTTGAAGACTTTGAACAATATTTTTGCCCTGATATTGTTGGGAAAAATTGGCATTTTTTTTGTGCTACACAGATGTGCCTTGACTTAAGATGGAATTAGTGGCTTTATAAAAGGACTTACAGTAGGGAAGTTAACTTGAAGTTATGTTAAGTTCTGTTAAGTTATGTTATAGGTTTAGTAAGTTAAGTTGAATCTTGTGTATCTTTTTTGGCGTCAAATTTTGGATTTGTTTTGCAACTGTCATGTGACTTTGGGAAGTTCCGCTTTTCCAGCTGCATGTCATTTCCTTAGCTTTTGATCTCGAAATGTGAAGAGTTTCTGGCAAAAACAACGGTTCGGGTTAGCTTGAGCGAGAAAAAGAGCTACGGATTTCAGTTTTGAGGAAACACAAAAAAACACGTTTTTAACACATACACGTTTCCAAGCACGATGGTGATGGGAGCTGGAAACACAATCACGTTCCCTTGCCATTTTGGTATTTTCATGAGGATACACGTGCGCGTTTCCATGTTTTTGTGAAAAAACATCCCAAATGTCGAGATTTTGGAGCACCAATCGTATAGATGTGGGACGCATCTTTAACACATACGCGTTTACAATCACTTTTTTTTAATCTGTGTGAAAACACATACGAATTTTACTTGTTCTGGAAGTGTAAAATCTAGAAACACATGCGCCTTTCCTTGTTTTCTTCTCTAAACAACAGGAAACACATGCGCGTTCCACGCCAACCTTCTCTCATCTTCTCTTAAACAGCAGGAAACGCCAGGATTTGAAGTCCTGCAGCGTCGCTCTCTGTGCTATCACATTTCAGCTGCAGCTTCCCGTGAAATTGTGCTCCATTTGAGCAGAAAAATTGTCCTATCATACAAAACATCTGTGTCAAGGCCAAAAACAGCTATCTTTGCTAACTTTTTGGTATCATTTTTGGACGTATGTGCTATCTCATATTATATTTACCTATCTGTTGATATAAATTCAACATGACTTATACAATTTATCCCCATTTATAACTATACTTGAACCATGTTATAAAATTAAATATACAACATATAAAATGATTTGGATGTCAAGGCATATCCCTGTATGTTTTTGGAATATAGATGTAAAATGTATATATTCAAGACTGTATGTTTTGGGGGCCCTTGCTGTTGTCCTCACCAGTGCTTTTAATCTGACTCTGGTTTACTGTCGAATAATGCTCTGTATTGACGTTTTTTGGACTCCGGTCAATTCTTCCCTTCGGGCTACATCTTGCAAGCACATCTGGCATTTGCCAACGAATTTCGTCCAAACATCTGCGCACGATGCCTTTTGTGGCATTGTCACGATCTTAGGTGCTGACATACGCTGGGCATGGTCTGTCCGAGGGCATCTGTACTCCTGACACGGCCCGCCTGTTGCCTTACACCCGGTGCTGTCACTTGCCGAGACATGCGCTGCTTCCCCTTGCTCCACTTGTTTGCCGACGTAGCAGGTGACCACCACTGAAGATGCACATTGGCCTCCACTGCCCGTGCATAACTGAACCATGGCTGAACTCACCTCAGTGAAGCCACTCTGCTGCAACCCCTCTTTTTTTGACGTATGTGCTATCTCATATTATATTTCCCTATCTGCTGATATAAATTCAACATGACTTATGCAAGCTACCCCCAATTATAAATATACTTGAGCCATATTTTAAAATTAAAACACAATATATAAAATGATTTGGATGTCAAGGCACAACTATGTAGAGATGTAAGTATGCGAAAAAGAAATATTATAGCTCTAATAGGTCCAGAAGGTGGTTTTACTACACTTGAAAAGCAAAGTTTCTAGTTTCTAGGGAGAATCCTTATTTTGTAAACTTGTCTAATTTTATTCTGAGACTGCTTCGATAGCTACTGCTGCAAAATTAGGTATTTTTTTGTGTTTGAGATGAGAAGTTTTTGTCAAACAAATACCTTGGGTTACAAAAATGTGTAGATGAAGTTGGGGTTGGGTCGCTTTTTGGACGTATAGTAGCATCTGCACTTTTTGTACCTGATTCATTTCAGAAAGAGGTACTACATATAAAAGAATCCAAGATACTTACAGTGAATTTAAGGTAACCTTATTGTGCTAAGCTCGTTGCGAATTGCAGATATTCAATAGGTTTTAGTTCAAGTCATGAAGTGGATGCGATCAATGTAAGAAATGCCAATATGTTAGCTTGTCAACGAGCTCTTAAGAAAATAAAAGCAACTAATACTATAAATTAAAGATGGTAATATGAAAAAGTTGCCAAAACAGCAAGAAAAACAAAAACAAAAAAACTGCAGGCCCCATGTCTGGAGACTGTTTTGAGATGCACTTTGAGATGCCCTGTGGGGTCTGCAGGTTTTTTTTTGTTTGTTGTTCCATGGTTTTTGTCACTTGCTATGACTTGATATTCAGCAGATGCTCACAGATTCACTGTTTTTGCGCACGCTGGTGGTAACATGTTCTGTAAATTAATGGGATATTACTGGGCGGTATATGTAATGGGATAGTATTGGATGATATGATGTGATACCATTGGATCCAACGGGATATCAGAAGATAAAAACAACAACTTCCATCATTTGCTGGGAATAACAGCAACCAAATCTATCGGGACAATATTGTTGTGTTTTCTACTTTGGGGGAATTCAAAACCGTTACCATCTTTGATTATCATCGGATTAGTTTCAAATAAGATGTGCCCGCCCAGTAGCTAGGCCGAACTACAAGGTGGGAGCTGTGAAAATGAACACAGAGGTCGACAATTGGCCAGGTGAAATTCCCCCCCTTCTTAGTTAACAACATGTAAATTCATGTGTGAAGAAAGAATATACAAAGGATATACAAATCATATACAATGGATATACACAGAATATACGAAGAATATACAAAGAATATACAAAGAATATACAAAAAGTACGCAAAGAATCTACAAAGAATATACACAGAATCTACAAAGAATATACAAAGAATTTACAAAGAATATACAAAGAGTACGCAAAGAGTCTAAAAAGAGTATGCAAAGAATATACAAAGAATATACAAAGAGTATACAAACAATATACAAACAATATACAAAGAATAAACAAAGAATATACAAAGAATATACTAAGAATGTACAAAGAATATACAAAGAGTATGCAAATAATATAGCAATAGATTCTTCTGTGTATCCGAACTTCTGCAAAAGGCATGCCACAAATCCAGCCATCGCCAGCGGTAAATTGGGCATTGCATGACAATACTGCTGTGTTTGGGCTCAGCCCATTTGGCTGGGCAAATTCCTATGATTTCAAAAGAAACCCTTTTTGGGACACTGATGCTAACTTCCCAGCCATGCGTTATTGGTTTCAGTACGTCATGATCATATACATATATTTATATATAATATATATATATACAGAATATATATATATGTATATATATATATATCCGTACAGGGTGGGCCCACCCAGTTTTAATAAGTCGGTCTAGAATCCCCTTCAAATATATTGTTCTATCCCCCTAATCAGCTCTAGTTGGCCCTAGTTACTGGCCTTATGTTCACCAACTTGGCTATGGATCTCCAAAACCATTCCCTTTGGGATTCTCGAAGGCAGACCCCAACCCAGCTTCCCTGCTTCCTGCACCGGCTGCGCCGGTGCAAACGCGCCCCCGCTTCGCGGCGTCACCGGGGGACTGCGTCGCAGAAAAGGCTCCTGCGAAAGAAAGGGGCCACCAAGTGGCGACGAGGGGCCAAACATGGTAGGGTTCTGTTTGCCTAATTTTGGATACGTACATGTATTATATATATATAATGTATATATATGTAAAAAAAACATGGAATACTATTGGATGATACATTTGGGAAATTGCAGTATAGGATAAAACCAGCAATTTAGATCCTTTTATGGGAAAAACTATAAACAAAACTAACCACAACGATTTCGATAATATTATGGTGCTTGCAATTTTAAGGGAATGCAATCTTTAATTACTTGCCATTGTATAATTCAAAAGTGAAATGTACCCGTCCGGTAGCCAGGCCACACTGTGAGGTGGGAGCTGTGTGAAAATGAACACAGAGGTCAGCAAATGGCAAGGAAAGAATCTCACTTCTTAGTCAACAACATGTAAACACATGTATATTGCTGCTTTCAAAGAGGTATATACCTCAGGATGCCTACGGAATTGTCATATACATATATATATATATATATAATATATACAGGATGGGACCCCCCAGTTATAAGTCTGTTTATCAACCCCATTAACCATAGTTATATCTACCGTAAACCATAGGTAAGCCACTTGTAAGGCAAATTAGCTATCTTGGGGGCCCCTATATTAATATATCATTATAAATCATATATCCCCATTTATGTGTTTCAATAATCTCAAAAGCCAGCCCTCACTGGAGATCAAAATGCCGCTGCAAAATAAATATGTGGGCATGGCTCAGATAGCTGGGCAAAGTATAAGTTTAAAAGCATACATAAACTATCCCCAACTATGGTACTTATCTAAAATGGTAACTGTCCCCAACTATGGTATGTTTCATAATGTTTAATATTGTTGGGAATATACTACCATAAACTACAGTATAACCAATATTGCCATAGTTGGGGATCATCACTGTTTTTTTTCTCCTTGGTTTTAGTATCTCATGGCAATATATTCCCAACTATAGTGACATACAATCAACAACTTCAACCCCAGACAAAAAATTCGTGGCTGTTTTTTATGGGGGGGTACCATTTAGTAGAAAATGATAGCTAGTTTGGAACCCCACTATGGTACTTAATCAACCACTGTTTCTTCATCCATGTTGCATTACAGACAAACTATGGCCGCTCGGCTCTCGGTTGGCTTTTCAGGGGTATCGGTGGGTATAGCAAGGTGACCCCCTATATCGCTTACACAGGTTTTATGATTTTCAATATGCATGTCCACTCAGACTATATACTCTGTTCGACGGATGGTTTGTCCACTCAGGCTATATACTCTGTTCGACGGATGGTTTGTCCACTCAGACTATATACTCTGTTCGACGGATGGTTTGTCCACTCAGACTATATACTCTGTTCGACGGATGGTTTGTCCACTCAGGCTATATACTCTGTTCGACGGATGGTTTGTCCACTCAGACTATATACTCTGTTCGACGGATGGTTTGTCCACTCAGACTATATACTCTGTTCGACGGATGGTTTGTCCACTCAGGCTATATACTCTGTTCGACGGATGGTTTGTCCACTCAGGCTATATACTCTGTTCGACGGATGGTTTCGTCGGATACTCGACTCACATCAAAGGAAATTCAAGGAACCCAACATACCCAACCTTAGTGCAATTCAGCTGCAAATGCCAGGCAAAGAGTTCACCAACCGTCACAAACCAGCTGCTCCATTCGAGTCCATTCCCACTCCCACGACGAAGATCGAAGGCCATGCTCCCTATCCAGGATTCATACCATCGCCCACGTGCCTGGTATGTCACACCATCATAGGGACATGGGCGCAAGTCCATCAGAAGCAGTGTGCAGATAATGGACGCAATCCGGTGTCCTTCACAGAACTGGTTCTCTTCACAACGTCTTGCGTATTCCTCCTGTCCTGGGCTGTAGTGGCCACGATGGCCAATAGGGTTTAAACAAATTACTTTACTTCGTGTGATCCCCACCATGACATTTATACATTTTCTTACTGGCAAATCTTCTGGCATTCTATCTGACATATCTTCTGACATTCTATTTGACATTCTATCTGGCATATCTTCTGGCATATGATCTGGCATATCTGGCATATCTTCTGGCATATCTTCTGGCATTCTATCTGGCATATCTTCTGGCATTCTATCTGACATTTATCTGGCATTCAATCTGGCATTCTATCTGGCATATCTTCTGGCATATATTCTGACATATCTTCTGGCATTCTATCTGACATATCTTCTGGCATATATTCTGACATATCTTCTGGCATATATTCTGACATATCTTCTGGCATATCTTCTGGCATATCTTCTGGCATATCTTCTGACATATCTATCTGGCATATCTTCTGGCATATTTTCTGGCATTCTATCTGGGAAATCTTCTGGCATTCTATCTGGCATATCTGCTGGCATATTATCTGGCATTCTATCTGGCATATCTTCTGGCATATCTTCTGACATTCTTTCTGACATTCTTTCTAACTTTCTTCTGCACATTCTTTATCCCATATCTTCCTACATGAGGTCCGGCAGGGAACACTTGGCGTGGATACTCGCGGTTGAGGTCCGGCAGGGAACACTGGGCGTGGATGGTCGTGGTTGAGGTCCGGCAGGGAACACTGGGCGTGGATGGTCGTGGTTGAGGTCCGGCAGGGAACACTGGGCGTGGCTGGTCGTGGTTGAGGTCCGGCAGGGAACACTGGGCGTGGATGGTCGTGGCTGAGGTCCGGCAGAGAACACTGTGGATCGCGGGTCGCAGTTGGACGAGGACGACGAGGACGACGAGGACGACGAGGACGACGAGGACGACAAGGACGACAAGGATGACAAGGAGGACGAGGAGGACGAAGAGGAGAGGAGGAGAGGAGGAGGAGGAGGAGGCAGGAGGCAGGAGGCAGGAGGCAGGAGGAGGCAACTGACATAAAATCTAACAACCCTCACCTGGCAGGTGGGGAAAAATCATTTCTTTGTCCGAGTAGATCCCATCATATCTCATACAATATTCTTCCCATCACTTCTTCAGTAATATCATCCCTACCCTCCGGCAATGAAACATGGCAATGAAGTTTTAAATTGGGAAGTCATCATATTCATGGAGGCTTTTCCATTACATCATTACCATGTTTGATTTCCATGGACGTAGTGAGGACATTGCTGCTCAATTATCATCAATACAGTTATAAAATGTTGTAAATGGGCTTATAATTCCCGGAACTAAGGTTACATATCACTTAAATGAGGTTGTAAACCAGTTCCAGTGTGGGGCCCCCTAGATGGCTAAGTTTGTTTATACCTCCAAAAACTATGGTTTATGATACGCAAATAACTATAGTCTTCATGGTGCTTATAAAATATGTTTTAACCACACCTTGTACATATCCAAGATGACCCTGTCTGATTGATGATAAACCATGATAAACCATCAATCATAGCCTCTGCGCTTGTAACTCCCGGAACTAAAGTTGCATATCACTTCAATGAGTTTATAAACCAGTTCCAACTGTTACCCTCTGGTAAACGTTTACCAAACTATGGAAAATCACAATTTTTTATAGGTAAATCCACTATTTCTATGGCCATGTTCAATAGCTTTTGTATGTTTACCGGAGGGTAAGAGGTATAACTTTCGGATTCCCAGTGGCAGCCCCCCCTGCTTCCTCCGATTGCGCTGCCGACTGCGCAAGGAACGAGGCCAGCGGCGCTGCACTGTGCGGTGTGGTGGGCCCAGTGCTGTTGAGAATAACCGGAGAAGAATCCTGCAGGCGAAGCAAAGGCGGTCACCTTTGCCCAAAAATGGTGAATATTTTCGGGTGAACTAACAGTTTGCTATGGAATTGTACTATTCAAAATAACTAAATCAACTATAAATGGGTCATTTTCGAATCTGCCAAGACAGGATATATATATATATATATATCACCATTTGTAATTAACGGGATCTTTGGGATTTTTTGATGATTGATTGGGATTTTACCAACAAATATGGGGATATTAATGGGAATGACCCTTTAGTAATTTAACACGGCGAACTGGAAACGCACCATGTTTAGTAGGTAAATCATCATGTGATATCATTGAACTAAATGGAGCGTCTTTCATAGCTATGTTAATTAACCAATTGCACCGATGTGTCAGAGCCTTTGTCGTCTGCTTTCTGGGTAACGCCTTCGCTTTCACCTTGAAACAATTCATGCTAAGAATAGTGGATTTTTGATGACCATTAGGGTATGTTTGATGTTACCCTCTGGTTATTTAACATAGCCATGGAAGCCATGGCCCATTTATAGATGATTTTCCCAGCTAGAAACCTCCATTTATTTCAGGGATTTTCCATGGCTATGTTAAAATAACCAGAGGGTAAATGGTAATATGGCCGAATGTTTGCAAGTGAGATGCTGTGCATGAATTTCCCTGGCCGCCCTGGCCGCCCTGGCCACCGTCCCCCCAAGTGACGCCCAGCAGCCTTGAATGCTTCAACCCCCAGGGCCACTGGCAGGTTTGGTCATCTTAGTTGGTAAACGACTGAGGTATCCACCAAAATTACCTTGTGAAAGAGAAAAACATTATACAAACCCACTTGATTCGTGAATCTCCATTGATAAAGAATACTAATCCCCATTTATCCATTATACTCCCACTGCTGTTGGTTGAGTCCATACTAACTCAGATAAAACGTCCCATCCATTTCCACTATTCATTGGTGAAAAACAAAATGTTTCATTGCTAAGTGCCAATGGTTCACCATTTCGGATGGTTAAATTCCCACTGTTGATGGTTAAACACGTTGTCTTCCACAATGTTTGATGGCTACCCTCTGGTAGTGAAACGTGGCAATATCCTTTCCGAAAGGCAACCTATTTTTTAACCCCATCCTTTTTCTATAGGGGTTCAAACATGGGAGCCCCTTTATTTATGCAGTTTCAACAGAAAAAAACATGTTGACTAAATTCCCCACCTGCCAGGTGAGGGTTGTTAGATTTTATCAGGTTTGTTCTTCTCCTTCTCTTTCTTCTATCTTCTTCTCCTCCTCCTCCTTCTCCTCCACCTCCTCCTCGTCCTCCTCCTTCTCCTCCACCACCTCTGCCTCCACTTACATGTTCACTTCCGCCTTGCCAACTCTTCGCCAAGCTCTTCGCCAAGCTCTTCGCCAACTTCCGCATGCAGTGGGCACTGCTGGACCTCAACTGCAAGGGTCTGAGCGCACTGGGCACCGCTGGACCTTAACCTGGGACCTTCCGAGCTCAGTGAGCACCGCTGGACCTCAACCTGGGACCGTCCGAGCTCAGTGAGCACCGCTGGACCTCAACCTGGGACCCTCCAGATAGAATGCCAGAAGATATGCCAGATAGAACGCCAGATAGAATAAAGTGCCAGATGCCAGATAGAATGCCAGAAAGATGCCAGATAAAGTGCCAGAATGTTTGCCAGATAGAACGCCAGAAGATTTGCCAGATAGAATGCCAGATAGAATCAGAAGATATGCCAGAAGATATGCCAGATAGAGTGCCATGAAGATATGCCAGAACATATTGCAGAAGATATGCCAGGTAGAATGCCAGAAGATATGCCAGATAAAATGCCAGAAGATATGTCAGATAGAATGCGAGAAGATTTGCCAGTAACAAAACGTATAGATGTCATGGTGGGGAAAACTCGAAGTAAAGTAATTGATGATTTTCTAACAAATCATGCTGGATTCTCAGATGGTTTGCCATTGATCCATCCAATATATATAATACATATGCTATGACCAAGAATTTGATTATATATATATACCAAGTACAAGCATAAGACTGGCTGAATTCTAATAATTCCCCAGGCTGAAAATAGCTGATGTAAAGCCATCATTCCAGTGGCGTCACGACGTGAGGTCAGTCTCCAATGTCTCCAGACTCATATCCACATTGTATCCACATTAATATCCCATTAAACATCTCTTTCTCTTGCTTAAATCTAATTTTGGTGGTTATTGTAGTTATATGTAGTTATTGTGTT